GAGATATGACTAGCAGCAGACCAACAGCTGACACGGCACAAACGTCAGCTGCATAAACAGAAACTATCAAACACTTCCAATAAAATCGAAAGTGCAAATTCCAGCACAGCATCTGTACACGTTACAGCACCACGAGGGCTTCAGGAACTCCTTCACACAAGGAAGTCTCTCACTCTGAAGCATGTGCACTGCTTACAGCGAGCAGACGTGTATGCAGCTCACTGCCTTGAAGTTATCTGAGCAGCACTTTCAGTTGCCATTCTCAAACTCTGACTCCACAGGAACTGACACATGGGAAACCCTCAAAATCACATATAACATCCACTGGGTATGTGCTTCAGGTTGCAAATAGACATATGTGTCATTCCAGTCACCATATTTTAATTATTTAAATAACTATATTGTGAGGCCTGAAAAAAGTCTGATCAAATTCTATTTGTACAAACAGAAGGCTAACAGTGAAGGAATAACATAAAAGTCAAAAATCCCAAATATAGTTCTTCCTACTATTACCAATTTCTCTACAGCTGTGGGGAAGAAATCACATTTACAGTAACTGAAGCACAGCAGTCTAGGAAGTATTGGAGACTGTATGGTTCATTTGTAATACAACTAGAAATAATAAGAATTTAATTAGGTTTTAAATACAGTTTTATAAGAAATTATTCCATTATTGCCAAGAAACATTCCAAAACTATCACCAAACATTTGTCCAAATGCGTACTACTTTCCTACCTACAACCCTGACCTTTACCATAAGCATTATCAGTTGCCACTTACAACTCCAAGATAAAAACAGAGAAATAGATTTAATGCATGCCAGGATGAGGTTTAGTGTATTTTTTAAAGAAGTATCCCAAGAGCCTAGAGACTATTAAAAAAAAAAAAAAATTACAAAAACCCTGTGACATTAAGATATTTTGCAATACAAAGGAGATTTTTTTTTTTTACATTTAAAGTTATATTAAATACAATACATTCACAAGGACTTCTTCAGAAAGGATGTGATGAGCATAAAGCAGAAAAGTAAATACCCTGGTTTTCAATTAGGAATTTTAAAGAGTTCTTTATCAGTGAGGTAACTTATATAAATAGATTTGTATTCTTAAGCTTCCACTATCACGTCTGATACTGTATCAAAAGCGTTTTCTACTCAATTAACGATGCATCATCTTAACTTTTGCTCAAATGAACAAGGTACTCCACTACTGAAATTTAATTTAGCAATGTTGTCCTAGATAGATAATGCCAATACTTCAGTCTGAAATGTTCTATGTTCCTTACACACCATTCCACGTATCCCCATTCCAATAGGAGATGATGAGGCAGAGCTAACAAGAGACCACCAAACACATGATCAATAAATATAGTGGCATCAAAACCACACGGTGATGAATTGTGACCAGCAAGTAAGCTTGCACATAAAATCTGTGCGTGTTTTACACCATGTACAAAACTGCAGAGGGCAGGAAGGGAAGAAAAACTGATGTGACTTCATCCTGCCAGACCTCTGATTTGGACAGTGCAGATATTGGTGTCAGTCACAGAGTGTACGCTGTGAGCTGGGTCTCTGGAAGCCCGTGTCTGCCCTGCCCGCTGTGGCCCAGCTCACAAGGCAGATGGAGACTGTACTGTACTACGGGCTATTAATGTCATGCTGGCTCCCCTGGCACCCCGCTACAGACCTGTCTCTGCCACTCACTTGGCAGAAGCCAGGCTCCCAACGCCAGCACCTGTAAAACCAGGGGTAGTATCACCAGGACTCCTGCTTGGGTTTGGGATCAGAGATCCAGCAAACCTAACACAGGGCTGTACCATGTTAAGTATGGACAAAAGGACAGGAAAACACCAACGGATCATTCGCCAACAAATTCACTAGTTGAGACTTCTTCATCTCAT